AACAAACCCCATGAGGCTGAGCCATATACACTTCCTCTTGGAGAATGCCATTCAAAAATGCATTATTCACATCTACCTACTGGATGTCCCATTTGTAAGTGAGGGCAAGAGTAAGAATGAGTCTAATTGTTGTTGGTTTAACCACTAGAGATAAAGTTTCAATGAAATCAAATCCCTGCTCTTGATGGTAACCCTTAACAACAAGTTTGGATTTGCGTTTTTGTATGCTTCCATCTGAGTTCTCTTTTATTTTGAAGACACATCTACACCCAACTGGTTTTCTATGAGAGGGTAAAGTAGTAACGGTTCATGTGCCATTAGTAATGAGAGCATCATACTCACTTTGCATAGCCTTAGTCCATTATAGAATAGAAAGAGTTTGTTTAACATTAGTAGGTTATGTGTGCGTTTGAGCTAGAAATACCTTGGGTTTAGAATTTCCAGTTTTGGATCTAGTGAGCATGGGATGGTGACAATGACCCATTAGAAACAGCTGGTGGAAATGTCCAGCTAGAGGTGTTTGAGTTGCAACCATAATTATGCTCTTTATTGGAAAAAGGAGATTCATGTGACTGATAAGATACATTATCCTCTGGACAATGCCTATGTGTAGGATCCTCTGGATTAGGATACTGACCAGAACCACTATCATGTGGGCCAAAATCATTATCATATGGGCCATAAGAGAGGTTATAACCTTTGGCTTTATCATAACACATGATAGCCTGCTAAGCCTGCTGAGTAGAATCAGGACTGCTCAGACTGAGAAGTACAATTGTGTTATCCTTATTAGAGGACACAATGATAGACTGGATAGTGGATGGTACAACAGGTACTAGAGTGGTGTCTGCACTATGTGAGATATGAGATAGTTTGAGTAGGTCTAGGACATTGATTTACACCTACAGACTAATGTGGATCAATTAAAACAATGTCTAATTAGGACCTGTCATCAGAATTTGGAGCAACTGTCCCATGTGAACCTCCACCAAAATTAGAGACATCAATAATGGGAGAATGAGGTAATTAGAGGTAATAGTTTGGCAAGGTATTGCATAAGAGCTGACTGAGAAGACTCAATGTTGGGAAGCTCAGAGGGAAATAAGCGAGGAAAAGGAAATACTTGCTCATGAAAAATCACATCTTTAGAGATGTATATTTTCCCTTTTTTACTGAGGTATTTGAACCCCTTATGTTGAGGTGACACCCCCAAGTATAGACATTCAAAGCTTGTTAGTTGAAGTTTGTTCTTGTTGTATGGTCTCAACAATGAAAAACATGAACATCCAAAGACTTTCAAGGTTTGATAGCTGGGTTGTTTATTATGGAGGGCGTGATAGCGTGAATCAAATTTGGGAAGTGTGAATGAGGGTAACCTATTAATCACATAGACAACAATAGCAAAACTATGATCCCAATAGGTTACAAGAATATATGAGTGAGCAAGTAAGGTAAGTCCCATTTCAACTATGTGTCTATGTTTTCTTTCTACAGAGAAATTTTGATGAGATGTATGAGGACAAGTGAGTTTATGACTAATGCCGAGGTCTTCTAGTAACTTGGAGAAGGGTCTGAATTCACCTCCAAAGTAAGATTGAACTGACTTGATGGTTGTATTAAGTTGAGTTTTTACAAACATATGAAATAACTTAAATGTTTGTAGGGCTTCTGACTTTTGTTCGAAAAAGTATAACCAAGTATACCTAGTGTGACCATCTACAAAGGTAATGTAATATTTATATCTAGAGCTAGAGGTATTGGTAGACGAACTCCACAAATAAGAATACACAATATCCAAAGCATTATCATAGACATTAGTTGAAATAGGAGGATGTAACCTATGAGCTTTGCCAAGATTACAGGATTTACACAACAAAGAATCATTTTTATTAGATATAGAGACATTACACTTTTTGGGAATTTGTTTGACAGAAGTATAATTGGTATTGTCCTAAACTATGATGCCACAATGACAAAAAGTTACAAGAAGAGACGTCATCTATGCTAGGCTTGACACCAGTATAACCTTGAGCATCAAGATGGGTAGGTAGGTCTTTATTCAAAGAATTAGATCCTAGGAGCTTCAATTATAGCTTGGGAAAATAGTACAAACCACTAGCATCAAGAAATCCCTCAACATGAACTTGTTTAGAAACCTGACATTTCACACAACATTTGTCATCCATAAAATCAAAGAAAAACTGATAGCAAGTTCCTAGTTATAGAGGGCACATGAAGTACATTATCAAGAGTTAACCTATGATTGAGGTTAAACTTAGAATAGAAGACAATTAATCCAATAGACTTGATAGCAAGAGATAGGCCGTTACCAACACATACTTTACTATAGCCTAGATATGGTTTGAGATTATGTAAGTAAGTATCCAAGGGAGTGAAATGGTGAGAGGAACTTGAGTCAGCAAACCATGCTTGAGACTCCAGCTGAGAGGGAAGAGAATGCTCCTAAGTGAAGGCATATGGCTAATTTGTGGTAGCTATCATCGCCATAGCTTAAGTGTTTTGAGAGGCCTCTTGTGGTAGCCTAAGGGAAGAGAATGCTCCTAAGTGAAGGCATATGGCATATGACTGAGAATTTGTTGTATTGGGAGGCATGAAATTATCATCATACATGTGCCAAAAATTAACAACAAAGGGACCATACTTACCACACAACTGACAGGTATGTTGATTGCTAGTCGAACCAGTGGTAGCACAACTTCTTCCACAACCTCTACCTCTAGTGAAACGATTGCCTCTGCCATGAAATGTGCCTCTTGAACCATTGATCTCTTGACTTGAGTGAGCCATGTTAGCAACAACAGTTGGCACAAATAACTCTTGGCGAAACTTGTCCAATTGAGCTTCTTGAACATAGAGAAGCCCTTCTACATCACATAACGAGGGGGATTCAATGCTCCCATACATCTGCATCACAAACAGATTGTACTCTTCCGGGAGACCATCGAGAATGGAATCAATTTGATCTTGTTCAGAAATTGAATCCCCAACAGTTAGGAGTGAATTAGCGATAACTTTGATACGCAACACGGATTCGGTAATCTTGTTCCCTTTGTTTGTAGATTTCAACTCAACACGAAGCTGACGAACCCCAATTTTCATTTGGGCATTGGAATATTGATGAATTTTGTTCCACACTTCATAGGCATGTTTACATGAAGGAGCTCTAGGTAACACAGATTCAGAAATTGCAGATAACAAACAGATAAAGACAACTAGATCTTGAACCGAATTTAATTTAAGAGGAATTTGGGGATTTACCATCACTTTGTGCATCTTTTGCGTCAAGATTACATCTTCTATTTGTTGATTTCATAGAAGATAGTTGTTGTCTTACAATTTGATAGAGAGCTTTGGTCTAAGTTGGACTTGGAGCTGGAAAAAACTGTTAGAAATGCCTGCGACTGAGATGAGTTCATGACGCCTGAATCTTGATGTTCGTCGGAATTCATGGCAAGCTCAGACAAAGTTACACGAAAGGATTATTAGCAAGGAAGAGAAATCATAATAGCGAAAGATCTGAACTATTAAATAATACCATATTAGAGTTCAATATTCATGAGGTTCATATTCAGGCATAATATTGATTCTGAGCTAAGAGAAAATGAATTGAATATTCATTATATTCTTTTTACAAAAAATATGATAATCCTATATACAAAACTATATTACTCTAACTAACGGTTATAGTTAGATTTAACTTCTAACTGTAACCTAACTAACTCACACATGTGCATAGACTAATCGTGTTAGAAGAACAAAACAGAAGAAGATCAACAATAAGCAAAAATGCTATACAGCTAGATATTTTATCACTAACAAAATATAGCTATGCACGTGTATACTTTCTCACACATTTTACCACAATACATGTTTTACTTTAACTACAATCTACCCATCATTAACCAAAATTTAAACTATTTAAATACAACTATCAAAATAAAAAGTTTTAACCAGAGCCTTTTAACTTTGGAGTAAACAACTGTGGTTAAACAATAACCTATTTTCTATTCGAAATTGTTAACTTGGCTATAGTTAAACCGTGACAAACTAAAAAACTTAACTACCGTCTTTCAACCGTGGCTAAACAGTGAGTTTTCGATAGAGGCTAAACACCTGCACAAGGTATGTGGGAAAGCCCGACAAAAGAGACCAAAAAACCAAAACCATAAGAGAAGATACAAGAGACAAAATCTCCGAGAACCATCGATACCACCAATAAAAAAACAAACTAGGGCACAAGAACAAGAACCACCATCAACTAAGTCTAATTTATTGAGTTCTATCCCTTACATGAAATTTCTGCATAGATTAATGGATCAGGAATTGCTAAAGAAAACTCAACCCTAAAGTGTACGAAGAAAAAAAAAGATGCTACCTAACATATTTTTAATCATTTTTCAGACCTGTATATACTGTCACACTTTAATAATGTAGTCATATATTGTATATAAATAAACAATGTACTTATATATATTCTCTAAAAGTAAGGTACTATATATATATTAGGTAAGCAATCTGCAATACTCCAAAATTTCTTACTTTATTACAAAGTCAGTGTAAGTATTGTACGTGTATAAAAAACAATGATGAAATTGAACGGAAATCAGACATTGTCGCTTCCATTGGAATATAGCCATAACATAAGACAAGACATTGCCAACATCTCATCCTTGTTTGGTAATTGGTACACAACACAACTAACAACACTTCTGTAAATATACTTTTTACTGTCTCAAATTCATAAACTAATATCTCAATCAATCTCGCACATGAAATTCAATGAAACAGTGAGTTTTACTGTTAATCTCTATCACATCACATTCATATTAGGAGAGAGTAAGAGTAGAGAAAGTAATGTGTTCAACAAAATAACATTGGAATCTTAATTAGTTTACCAATTAACTACACTGCTTTTGATGAAAACAAAAACAAAATAAGCACTATGAGACAGTAAAAAGCAATGTTTCCTTTATTTTTCTTCATTGCATCAAATTTGAGCTTCCAAAATGTTGGCTTGACTGAGGTGATTTTAGGTTATGATTCATAGAAGCCATGGCATGTTGTTGTTGTTGTTGATTTTGTGAAAATCCAGGAGCACTCATGTTTCTGACCATTCCACCAACACCAAGAAAATCTAAAGTTAACTTATCAGATTCACCAAACCCTATATTAAGGTTACTTTCATTGCCAAATATGGAGGATGTGTTTCCATTTCCATTTGCAATAGAGTTTATCAATCCGTGAAGTTCATCGTTGTTGTTATGATCATTTAATTCCATACTTGAACTATTTCCAAAAGATGTGGTGGTGGTAGTAGTAGTAGTACCTTTGTTGTTGTTGGTTGAATTAGTTGAACAAATTTGAGAAGCTTTCTGAAGTAATGCAGTGGCAGACATGTGAGAACTAGACAGGTTTTGGTTTTGGTTTTGATGATGATCATGATGCATATTTGAGTTGACCATAAAGAGTGATTGATGATGATGATGATCACTAATAAGAGGATTATTGTTGAATTGATCATCATGAATGTTATTCATGAGGTTGAAGAGATTATTCGAGTTATTACTTGTCGTGTTTCCTTGAAGATCAGGAAGTTGCATCAAACCATGTAGTTGCTGTTGTTGTTTGTTTGAGAATTGTCCTTGGTGTTCTTCAAAGGATTGATTTGGAATATCACTCATATTGAAGAACGGCGATGAAGAAGACGGAACTGAGTATTGTCCAAATGACGAAGTAGAGTGATTCAAGGGCGGTGACGAGATTAAGTGTTGCTCAAACTTCGGCGCCGATGATCCAAGGCGTAAAATGTTGTTGCTAGTGGATGATGTTTGGTTCTGATGAAGTTGCAATTGATGAGAAATTTGACCTAAACTCATGTGGTTTGTGGCATGGAAATTAGGATGAGTACCAAAAGGGTTAGGGTGTCTTATTACACTCTCTTGTGCTAATGCATCACAAAATGCCCTATGAGTGATGAAACTGTCGCGTCTGCACCAAAAAAATACACAATGTTTAGGAAGAATTCAAAATATTGGAAACAAATCTATCATTTAGCATAACGTACAGCGTCTAATACAACATCTAATATAGCGTTGACAGCAACATGTAACACGAATCTTAAAAACATGTTCAAAGATGAATCCCTATTGTTTTTAATAAATATAATCTTTTTAGAGATAACACATTTGAAAATTAGATGTAGAATTGGAAAAAAAATCAATTGAATAACTTTTGTTAGAAAAAACCCTAATGAAGGCTACATTACATGAAGCAAAGAAAGCATTTAATGTGAAATTAATTGAAACTATACTAGTATGTTGAAATGAAGAAAACTACAATAGAAGTAGAGGGTCCATGGATTATGCCAAAATATGAAACAAACCAAGAATTTCCAAATCAAATTTCCACTTTGAGGTCTTTCTTTGATGAACATAAGAGAGAATCATTTGCATATTTTATGAAAGTCAATACTAAAAAAACTCCTATATGGGGCCAGTTCAATAAATGCAAGCAACCTCAATACTTGTCTATATTCTACCTATAGAATTCATTAATTTATGAAAAACATGAAAATGTATTTGAATTTTGAACCACTAGAATAGCCAACAAGAAAGATAAGAAACACCAGCATCTTCGTTCCAACTCACGTAAGAACAAACTTTAAATGTTAATTGTTTCACTACACGTGAATGTGAATAAGAATATATGGACACTGTTCCCTAGAACCAAAGTTGAATTTTTTTTCTACCTTTTTCACAAAACATTTCAATTTTTGTACTATATTTGAATAGTGTACTCACGTGCATGCAGTCTTCTGCCATACAAAAATTATACCTTCACTAACACCCAAACACAAACTAACAATGAAAGGATGAAAGCTCTTGTTCACTTTTTTTTGGGATAAGAAATTAAAAGAGACTCTTCCTCTCAAATGGTTTCGAGATTTCGGTTTGTACAGATGTTGCGACACTGATCGAGATCGTCGCATGTGAATTAACTATAATATATTCTTTATTATAAAAGCAGTGAATAACATTATCGAGACCGTTTTCACCTTTTTTAAAATCTCGATGAAATAAGTGCAAAACCATATGTAACCCTAACTTTTGACAAATGTGGTTAGCAAATATATATATAGATGTGTATTCATATAACATTAATGTGAAATAAATATATAAAGTTGTTGATAAATTTGTTACCTAGAGAAGAGGGTGCCACAATCACATCTATATTCCCTTGTACCACAAGTTTTTGAATGAGCTTTCCAATCAGATTGAACAGCATATTTCTTCGAACATTTTTCGCATTTCCACTTCTTCTCGCCGTGCTTACGCGAGTAATGCTTTTTAATCCCAGTGAGATCTCCTAAAGCTCTTGAAGGGTCATGATGAACACATGTTGGCTCGGGACACAGATAAACCTTTCTTTTTGGCTCTTTGTTGGACTTTTGCTTTAGCTTCCATGGAAGATTGTGTCCTCTTCTATGAAGTTGAAGATTTTGCTCCCTTTGAAACCCTTTGTTGCAAACCTCACATATGAATCTATTTGTTGCCATTAGTGTCTTGGGAGAAAGTGCTATCACTTCTGCATCTGGATCTTTTTACCATGAAAAATTCCAAACAACAGAAATATTATATAAAATTCTATGATTTAATAATTACTTGCTGAATTTGAATATGCACCATGAACTGAACACATACTCATTAATTCTAATAGTAGTAAAAAAAGTTGAATATGCACCGTTCTAAAAGTAGTAAAAAAAGTTGAAGATAGAAAAATCATTATAAAATTATAACCAAAATCTCATGCTTTTGAGAATAAAATTGGAGGAAAGTGCATGCATCTCAATCAATTATTTACCATAAAAAAAAAAGAGCCCTAATTCATATTCGTGATTTAGGGTTTATTTTTTGTTTGTCAAAAAGTTACAAAAGAAATGTAAAAGGTGTGTGCATGTGATGTGAAATTGAATGAGTTAAACAAAATTTATCTAATTAAGCTACTTGCTTGGTGTTCCTGGTTGATTTCTTCTTTTCTTTTGAGGAACTATGGTTGAAGGAGCTGAGGAAGTAGCAGAAGTAGTTGTGGATTGAGGATGAAGATGATGTGTTATCTGACTTTGATTTTCTTCTGTGATTCCAAAGAATGATGTCGACGACGAAGCCGCCATAATAATACTTTGCAATCTGAAATTTTGTTAAACTAAGTATCAAATATTTGAATCCTTCTTCCAAAAGAAAAAAAATTCAACAACATGTTTCTTTGTCTCATGAAAGTATAACAAATAATTAAAAAAGACACTTAAAGACTAAAGTAAATTAAGAAACAAAACAATTTAAAAATAAAAAAGAAGAAGAAGAAGATAGAAAGAGCTGAAAAAAGTTTAATTTTTCTTCTGTCAGAAGAAGAAGAAGAATAAAAAAAAACTCACAGATTAAGAGCAATCAAAAAGGTAGGAAGAAGAAAGGATCTAAGGAGACAAGAGAGTATAATGTGGAGACGAGGAGAAGAGAACAATAATATAAACTCACTTTGTATATACCTAGCTATTTATCTTCTGGCTATTGTTTTCTTGTGCATAAAATTTAGCTACACTCTCTTGTTATATTCCTCAATCATTTGGTGTCATCTTAATATATAATACTAGTTTAGTTTACATGCATGCTTGTCCACTCATATAGATATATAATATCTCTTTCTTAATTTAAGTTGTAATGGAAAATTAAGTTAGGGTGGTAAAATAAAAAGATTGCTTGATAGGAAAGAGTGGTGGATTGAGGGGTAAAATGTGTCACTGTTATATATGCTGCTATTGCACAGGCTACTGTGTCCTTCATAGATGATGGCTAGGGGCCACCGACCCTACTAGCCCTTACCCCTTTCCTTATCACTCTTTCTCTTATTACCAATAGTCTTATTCTTTGGTAATTTTCAGCCCCCACCATGCTAATGCTCTATTATTATTAATTATCATGATTTTTTTATATTAAGAGATTTCAATAAAAGAGTACGAGGGATATTCAAACCCAAAATATAAGGAGGAGATATCAAACCAACTAAATTATGACATACAAATCAAAGGAGCCGAATAAAAATCATAAAAATTGAAGTTGGTGTTTGACATTTCTCCAATTAAAGAACATCTTCAGCAAAAAAACAAAAAAACTTAATAGACCAAACAACATTATTAACATTACAAAACTGTCCAGTGAAAAGAATATCATTTCTATGCTTCCATAAACCTCAAATAACTGACCATCAAATAATTGCTTCTCTATTCTTTTTAACCTTCTTAGCGAAATTGTTGCAGCAAAACACGAAGCATCTAACAATGTCTTTCTCTTCCGAGTGTTTAAAGTTGATCCATCTATTGATAGCATTTTGAATCTGGACTGCTACTCTACAATCAAGAAACAAATGCTGCAGATTTTTCTCATGGAAAAAGCAAAGAACACAAGGAAGATCGTGGATAGAGCTAATGATTCCTCTTTTTTTCAGTTGATCTTTACTATCTAACTTGTTCAAGAAAATTCTGTTAGAACACAGATTGGTTCTTAATTATATCTCTATGTTTTGATGATAACACTAATAAAATTTTGTATTAAGAAATTATATACTTTAAATTTGTCCAAGTATTTTTGCTGCAAATATTAAATTTAACATTCTTCTGAAAACAAAAATGAATCTGAATATTGAACTACGCAAGGCTCTGAGCGTCAGAAGCATCTCGTTAGAAGACTCTGAGCGCTGCCTACAGAAGAATCTGAAGCAGAAGCTATAGATGCATCTGAAGCGTAAACTGAAGACTTTGTATGAAGAGTTTCAAGCATTGTTTTTCAAAAGACTCTGATAGTACTGTTCGCTGCAAGTACTGAGGATCTGATCTCTAAACTCTGCTCTGATTTTTATACACGCTGAAGCACACTTGCTGCAACACTCTGATACAACAAACTCTGATAACATCAAGACTCTGATCACTCTAGGCTTTGATGTTGATTGCTATGAAATAGAAGCTTGTTGAAGAAGATTATTCAAAGTTATATCCATTGGCATATTCCAAACGACTCTTTCCTCTTTTATACTAGACACAAGAACTCAGACAAAAAGGATTTCTCTGAACGTTCTACTTCTAGGAAAGGTCAAGTCATGTGAAGACAAAAGGCTACAGCTACTTTGTAGTACACGGTCTTCAAGCTTGCAACGTCTTGAACATCGTTGTCAATAACAGCAAGCCTTCAACAACTTTCTACAGTTGACGTATTTTGACAAATATTGACGAATCCATTGAAAACTTTCTCAAAGCTCTCATACAAATTATATTTCTTTGTTGAATAGTTTCATTCGTTCTTAATCTTAAGTGTATAAATCACAGTTGTGATATAGCTTTCATAGAAGCATTTTAAACATTTGTTTAGCTTACATTTGATTGTAAAAATTCTTTAAGGAGACCAAGTTGTGGTCAGTAGTTCTTGAGAAGACTAAGACAATTGTTCTTAGTGGTTGACATTGTAATCTGTTTGATTATAATGGATTAAGTCCTTGTGGAGAAAGGCAAATCACTCTTGATAGGGTGGACTGGATTAGTTGAGTTCAACGAACCAGGATAAAAATCATTGTGTTTTTATTGCCATAACATTTTGAAAACCCTTATTCAACCCCCCCCCCTTCTAAGTATTTTCTCACCTTCAGTTGGCATCAGAGCTCCGGTTCTGTGTGTGCTATCACTTCACCGTGAACAGAAAAGATCCAGTTGAGAAAACTCTTGATATATTTTTTGGTTGATACATTATGGCTGAAGCTTCAACATCCAACAACAACAGATATGAAGACAGAGATAGAATCAACACTAAACCCCCTATGTTTGATGGGGAAAAGTTTGACTACTTGAAAGACAGGATTGAAAGTTTCTTTCTAGGATATGATGCTGACCTTTGGGATTTAGTTATTGATGGCTATGTTCACCCCACTGATGGGGATGGAAAAAAGATAGACAGAAAATCTATGACTGAAGCTCAGAAGAAAGAATTCAGGAATCATCATAAAGCTAGAACCATACTTCTAAATGTTATATCTCATACTGAGTATGAGAAGATTACTAACAGAGAAACAACGTTTGGTATGTTTGAATCTTTGAAGATGACTCATGAAGGGAATTCTCAAGTCAAGGAGACTAAGGCTCTGGCGCTGATCCAAAAATATGAAGCCTTCAACATGGAGGAATCAAAATCTATAAAAGTTATGTTCTCTAGATTCCAGATTCTCACAGCTGGCTTAAAAGTTTTGGACAAGGGCTACTCCACTACAGATCATGTTAAGAAGATCATCAGAAGTTTGCCCATCAGATGGAGACCAATGGTCACTGCTTTGAAGCTAGCTAAGGATCTGAACAAGATCACATTGGAGGAACTGATCAGCTCTCTAAGAAGTCATGAGATTGAATTAGAGGAAGACGAACCCCAGAAAAAAGGTAAGTCTATTGCTTTAAAGTCTAACAAATCTGCCAAAGCTTTGCAGGTTTTAGAAGAAAGTTCTGAAGAATCTTCTTCTGAAGAAGAAGATGAATTGTCCATGCTGTCCAGAAGAATCAACAAACTCTGGAAACATAAAGGAAAGAAGTTCATAAACTTCAAGAAGCCAGATCAACATAAAGAGTCCTCTGGACACAAAAGATTTGGAAAGAAAGAGGTTGTCTGCTATGAATGTAAGGAACCTGGTCACTACAAGAATGAATGTCCAAAGCTTCTGAAGGAAAAGCCAAAGAGGAAGTTTGACAAAAAGAAGGAGGTTCTAATGGAAACCTGGGATGATTCAGATGAATCTGAATCTTCATCAGAATTAGATGAAGAATGTGCAAACGTGGCACTGATGGTAGACGTGGAAGATCAGGATGAAGGAACATCTGGATCTGAATCTGATTCTGAATCTGACTCAGAAGAGGTACTTTCTGATCTCTCTAGGGAAGAACTTATTAAGGTTTTATCAGAAGTTTTGAACAACTATAACCAGATTAAGCTCAAGTGCAAGAAGCTTAAATGCAATCTTGAATCTGAGAATAGTCTGTTAAAGTTAGAAGTTGTTGAGCTCAAAGAAAACAATTTGAAAATGAAAAACAATTTTGAAAAAGCTCAACAAGACTCTAAATCTGAAACTAATTCAAAATGTAAAAATATTTTAGAAGAATATTACTATAATTTTTAGAAGTTTCTGGCTAGAAGCATAGATAGAAGCAAGATGACTTCAATGATCTATGGAGTTAGCATAAACAACAGGAAGGGAATTGGATATGAATCTTCCTCTGGAAAGGATTTAAATCCAATACCTATTGATAAACTTATCATTAAGAAGACTCCCTTATATTCTCATTTTAATTTTGGTCATCTGAATGATATTAAACACACACGTTCTGGTCAGAACATTCCTGTGTTTAAACCGAAAGTTAGTCAGAACAAACCTGTTGTAAAAAGACAAAAGTTCAGACAAAATTTTAAGGCAACTAACCCAAAAGGACCTAAAAAGATCTGGGTACCTAAGGATAATATAATATCTGTTGCAAATGTATTTAACATCAATGACAAGACGCCAATCATGGTACCTGGACTCTGACTGCTCACGTCACATGACAGGAGAAAGGTTTATGTTCCAAAGCCTGGAGCTTAAATCTGGAGGAGACGTCAAGTTTGGAGGGAATCAGAAGGGCAAGATAATTGGCTCTGGTACTATTAGAAATGGTAACCTTCCCTTTATATCTAATGTTTTACCTGTAGAAGGATTAAAGCATAATCTATTGTCCATAAGTCAATTAAGTGACAATGGTTATGACATAATCTTTAATCAAAAATGTTGCAAAGCTGTCAGTCAAAAGGATGGCTCAATCCTATTTAATGGAAAGAGGAAGAACAACATTTACAAAATCAATCTTTCATAACTTAAGGTTCAAAATGTAAAATGCCTTATGTCTGTTAATGATGAGCAATGGGTCTGGCACAGAAGATTGAGGCATATTAATATGAGACATCTCAGATTAATAAACTCAATCTGGTCAGAGGACTTCCTAAGTTGAAGTTCAACTCAGATGCTTTTTGTGAAGCATGTCAAAAAGGAAAATTTTCAAAATCTTCTTTTAAAACTAGAAATGTTGTTTCAACCTCAAGACCATTAGAGTTACTACAT